CACAACATTCCACTTGACTATGTGTTTGCTTTGGGCTTAAATTTTTAAAATCCTGAATGCTTAATGCATTGTTGTGATCTTATACTGGAGTCCACTTGTCTGAAACCTGGGGGGACTATGAATCTGGGAGTTAGACTAAGGCAACCCGACGCATTATGGCAGTTTCTAATCTAGCCCATAGTGGTTTGTATTAGCCTAAATACCTTGGGAAAAGCAGAAAGTTGGCGGTTGAATATGAGGTTAAGTGCTTTATCTAATGAGAGAGTATAGGCAGAGTGTCTAATGGGGCATTTAATCCCTTGAGAGGTGAGATATAACACCAATGAGAGGAGTGTCCTCAGGCCTGGTGAGTTTAAATAGAAATTAAATACTTAGCTTACCATAGTTGCTGGAATATACTATTGGTAAAGGCCCGAGTGGGAAAGATCCAGAAAAAAAGCCAATTTGGACAAATGTTGAAAAGGTACGAGGGTGAAAGATGCAGCCAATGATGCTTGCAGAAAATGAGAGAAAGCCTTTAGATCTGAACCTCAGTAAGAATACCCTAGTTGAAGACATGAAAGAAATAGGTACCGATCACAAGAATGTCCATTTGAAATTAATTGAATCTAATCATAGAATGGACAGTAGGTTAAGCAACACTTTGTTTTGTGGTTTGTTTCACACACTTACGGAAGTAAGTTTCTGACTTGATTAAGTGGTTCTAAACCATGATGTACATTATTTGTCTCTAATGAGACCAGAATCTGAGACAAGATTTGACAATTCTCTTTGCTGCTTTTGTATGGTAGAGTCTGTAGGAAAGGATATTATCATGTTTTCTTTGAGTTGTGTTTGCTTGAGGACAAGCAAAATCTAAGTGTGGGGGAGTCGATGATGTTAATATTAGCATGATATTTGTGGTGGTTCATGTGTTGTTTTGAATATTATTTATGCTAGTATTAGTATTTTGGTTCTTAATTTGATCATAGGAAGGATTTGGAATAAAAAAAAAAGAAAAGTGTTGATTTTGAAGAGTTTGAGAAGGTTTGGTTGAATCAAGTTTCAAGTTGGAGAATAAGTAATTGATTCTCACGTGGGCACACAAGATTTAAGCCAAAATCAATGAAGGAAGCAGAAAATTCCAGAAACGAGGTTGTATTCCCGTGTGGGCACAAGAAAGCAGGGACTAAATTACAATTTATCAAAATTTTTGGGTTAAAGTGTAATTATTGCAAACTTTAGGGAGCAATCTACAAATTCTGGGAACTTGAATTCTCCTCTGTGGATTTTGGAGAGGCTGAACGAGGGCTGTTCTATTCACCAACATATTTTGAGTATTTATTTATTCTCTTTGATATTTATTGAAGATTATTTAGTATTATTTGAATATCTGGTAGCAGTCAGTTCTCCTAGATAATCTAATTCATTGAACAACAAGGTTGCTTGTCCTTATACTTAAATAACAGGCACAGTAGGCGAGAAATAATACCCAAGAAATATTCAAGTACCACCGTAGAATCGATCTCGTCCGTCGGATGGGGTTGATATGATGTCAGCGACTTATTAGGGGTAAAACCGGGATTTCATAATTTCTTTCCTTCTAATAAATAATAGAAAATCCAAATTTTTGTTTCCAAATTATATTCCCCCTCGGTTAAAGAATAGCACAGGTTTTAGGGAAAAATTCCCAGGCCAAGAAAATGACGTCGTCATTCCTCCCTGCCTCCCCCCCCCCCTCCGCCCCAATCTATAAATATTAACGATGGCTGCATAAACTCTTCTACTCCAGACCGACGACAACTCCTTTTCAAACCACTACGCCATTGAATCGGCCATTCAATCTCGTACATAGTCTTAATTCTCGTTGATTGAATCGCAATACCGATTAAATGAATCACTTGTCAGTGGCATCAAGAATGAATCTTTCGTCAACTGTATAACAACCTTTGACCTATATATAATGTTACTACTTACTTGTAGTAGACTTGTAAGTGTTTTGGTGGGAGGGGGGAGTTTTTTTGGGGGCTCAATGAAATGCGGGCGTAGACCAGATTGATGGCACAAAAACACAAACTAATATTGTCTCATGTGCTTGTTTTTTTTTTTTTTTCTATTAGACAAAGATCTTCATAATAATAACCTATTGACCTTTAAATTAATCTATTCAAACTGTTTTCAAGCTTGACAATAAATCATAATTTATCTAGCGTAACTGATTATACAGTTCAAAATTGTTACTACTTCTCCATAGCTCACAATAAACAACACCGTAGTTTACTCACCAAAGAGTAATAAAAATGTATAAGGATAATGATAATAAAAATCAGAAATAACACCATAGTTAATTTACTCACCAAAGGGTAAAACATATAAGAATAAGAATAATAAAAACTATAAACAAGAGATATTACTAATTAACAATAACACTGGAAAAAGCATATTCATTGATATTAAAATAGCACTTTGCCTCTATTGACTGAGAAAAAAATCAGAAGTTCTACGAGAATGTTTTATTAGTCTGAATTTAATAATTAAAAAAAATACTTTTCGTCTCAAATAAGGCTTATGCAAAAATTTTTACTATTCAAAGTCTGAATTTAATTTTTCCGAACAAGAATAAAATAAAATGCTTCTATTGCATTTAATATTTCCTGATTACACATTACTAAGTCTAACAAAGAAATATGTTTTTATAAATATTCTTAATTACGATTTATATTACACAAGTATTAGTAAAAACTGGTCGCGCAACGCGCGACACCAAAAGACTAGTTCCTTAGAAGTGTTAATGCAATTGATTGCTTGGTAAATAGTTTATTTTTGATGTGAGAATAAGTAATCAATTTTTAATGAAACAAAGTTTGTTTGTTGGAAATTGAATTGGATCTTTGCTTGTCGATAACTAAGTCCTAGGAGGTTCAAGGTAGTGTTTTGGCTATAGAGTGATTTATGAAACTTTCTTAATCACTGGTAATAAATTAAAAGACTGAGTTGTTAGGAGGTTTCAACAACGATAACCAATACATTCTTGATTTGTTGAGTTAATTATTGTATCAATGATCAGTTGGATTCATCAAGGTAGAAATTATTCGTTTGACTAGAGTTTCTCTTACTATCGGTTTTCAAAAAGTATTTTTTATCGTTTGCCAGTTACTTTTGTCATCCATTAGTTATAAATCCAAAAATTCTCCCATTTGATTACTTTGCTTTTAATTAGAGATATTTTCACTTCCTTGTTCCCTGAGGAGACAACTCCACTTGCTTCTATACTACTTAAATTTCTTAGGAGTAGGTTATTTTATTTTTTTTTGGTTTGATAGCCATCAATATTTGCCGGTTCTTTTAGTCTCTAAAATATCAATTTTGATGTTCATCACTTATACAAACTTATAATTCCCGAGCCTTTAAGTAACTTTTAATCTCACGGTTCATCTAAATAGGAGACAAAAATCAAATTGCTCATAGTCAAGAGTCCGTCTGGCTGCAGTAAAGGTGAATTATCTACCGAACACATTCATGGGAATGTCTCACGACAACCTAAAGATGCATATGGCAAGTTTATCGAAATTGCTCCATTGATCTCATGAACAATTATACAAAAGCAAACCTCTTTAATTTTATATATTTATTTTATTTTGGGTTATAACCGTATTGTAAAAGATATTTCCATTTTTTTTAATCATTAAAAATACAAATATATATGATCTTCCACCAGCCCCTAAGAAAGGCGAAACCTTAAATTTGTTTTTTTCCTTTATCATTATTATTTTTCCTTTTGACAGATAATGACTTTGAAGATGATTGGAAGACTACTAGTATTAAAACTTCTCGTAGACGAATTGCAATGAGAGTTGATAAAGTTCAATAAGTTCTCCCTGATACCCTATTAATTTTTCAGCCATAGAGGAATTACAATGAGAGTTGATAATGTGTGTGCGCGCGTGCGCGCGTGTGTGTGTGTGGGGGGGGGGGTGGGCAACTTCTGTTTATATATATACGGCAATACAGGAAACTTCATTTGAAACGGTGAAATAAAATAAAGATTTGATCACTGTTCTATAATAATTATTATAATTATGAAAGCAAAAATTAGTGACTGTTATTATGAGACACACAGAGAAAAAAACGTAAATATAAATTAATTTATTAGTAACGAGTTCATATGCGAGATCGAACTCTTGCAAATGCTATAAATGAATGTGCTATGCTATAAAGAGTCATGAGACGTAAGAGGAGAGAAATGCAGTGAGGGAAATGCAGTGGTCTGACTTGTAATGTTTTGGAACCGGTATCAATTTGACAAAGATTTTTTTTTTTTTTTTTCACAATCCGCTTTCTTTTGATGCAGCTTATTTTTGCTATGAATAACATGCTCCTCATGTGGTTAGGAGGCCATGAACTTGCTTTCATGTTATGGCTAGATTGATATTATTAAAAGCCACAATCTTCTTTTCCCCATGAACCTATTTATAAAAAAAGAGGAGCCATTAATTTACCATATTTTATCCTAAGTTGCGTAAAAATGTAGCATTTGATTCAAAAAATAGAAAGGACTTTTTTTTGCCCCACATGCTGGGTGGGGCTGGATATACTTGAAAAGTATACAGATTCAACACCAGAAAGGCCAAAAATAATTTACAAACGGGTCAATCAACCGAAGTGTGTAGCAGAAATACTACCCGTCAAAAGTAATTGGCACGTCGGAAAACAAATTACTTTTACAAGCTAAAATAAACTTTCATATTTCATCTTTCAATTTCCAATAGGATTAGGGCAGAAAGATAATACGAATCAATTTTGGAATACATGAGGCGGCCAACTACGTGAACTAGGGCAACTTCTTTTATATATATATATATATGGTAACTTCTATTTGTATATAAGTATACCCGACGAAACACATTCAACTTCATCTAAAAGCATTCTTTCACAAGAATTTAGAAGAAATATTTCGGAGAGATTTCAAGAAGTCAATCACCAGCAGAAAGTAGCAGATAGACAACCTTAGAATAATAACTATGGCGATGTACTTACCGTTTGGAAAACGTTTTTTACCGACGGACGAAGAGCTGCTCAACCACTTTCTCCGGAACAAGGTGGCCAATAAAAACTTGCCGGCGATGAGCGAGATGATGATCGAGAGGGATATTTACGGGAAAAACGCGACGCCGTGGGAGCTGTTCCGGGATGATGATCCTTCTCTTCCGTGGCAGCAAGTAGTTGATAGCTTGGGGAAGCTTAACGAACAAGAATACGTTTTGTATGTGTTCACCAAGTTGACTAGCGTTGGAAAAGTTGGGAAGAAGCACAAGAACCGGGTCGCCGGCTGCGGGTCGTGGCACCAAAACTTGCCCAATGAGGTGACGGATCAAGATGGCAACAAGATTGGTAACAAGAAGATTTTCAAGTTCAAGCATAGGCAAGAAGGGATTCCGACTAAATGGATCATGTATGAGTATTCACTTTTAGGTCACGAAGAATACGTTCTTTGTAAGATCAAGAGGATCGGTGACCATCCATCAAAGAATAATATGCATGTTCCATCCCTAAGTGATGAGGCAATTATGTTGAATACTGATGATCAGCACATGGCGGTGGATGTTCAAAGATCGGGAAAGAAGTCAAAACTGTCAAATATTACTACCGAAATTACCGCGACGAGGTCTCAAATATCCGGCACGGGCGATCAAGGCTTGAATAATGGATATGGTGGTTTTGTTGGGAATAACGTTGTTGGAGTACTAGACCAGAACATACAGACTGGAGATTCTATGTATCCAGGATGCGTAGTACCTCAATTACATGAGAATCTGGTCCCTCAGAACCAGCCCAACATTGGTGCTTTGGAGGGAATGGGTTATGATGAGTTTGGTCATTACCTTACGGAGAATTTCGATTTTTCGACGTCGCCTGATGGAGGAGAGGATGATCAAGTTCAACACCACATTCCAATTGGAAGCGAATCTACAAACGTGGAATATTCAAGTTGCTCTGGTGCTTCGACAAGTTACAACATTAATGGAGATTATTATGGGGATGGTTTTCATCATCGTGAGAATTCTGCTATCGGGTCGGGTCAGGACACACATCCCATGGCTGTAGATGACCATGTTCTTCCTGGTACCAGTAACGCTGATGCATCTTCCCCGGTTTCAGAATTGTTGGGTACTGAGGATTGGTTCGATGTTGATGAAATGATGAGACTTTTGGCTTCTCCATGAACGACGGAGTTACATATTTAAACGCATCATGTGTTCAGAAAAATCAACCTCTTTCTTTACATGTTTTGGTGGAATCCGGCCAAGCAAGTGGTGGTCTTTCGATGACGACGATTAATTGGAAATGGTATCTTATTTATTAATTATGAAAAAAATCCATCGATACAATGTCCGTTTCAAATTCCACAAAAGGAATTCTTCTAATAATCTTCATGTTCTAAAGAAAAATGAAAACGACAGAAACTGGATTGCGATACGTACAGGTTCAATGTTATTCTTGCTAGCAATGAAGACGCCTCACTGTTAATAATTTTCTCGCTACGAATTAAGAAATGTGATTGTCCCCAATCAATGAAGTTTTTTTAATAGTTAACGTAAACGTGAAAAGAAAATTATATTTAAAATGGTGTGTGATTAATGTAAACACAAAAGACTTATATGGTGTTTCAGTGAGTAGCTAATTAATTAAATACTTCTTCGGTAAAATATCAAAAACAAAATTTTTTTTTTTAGATTAATAGAAGTATCATTAGAATGAAGAAAGTTTTTTGTTTCTTTTTCTTTCTCCTATTGTAAAATAATAAGATGTTTTTTTGATCATACTCGCTATAGACTATGCATGTAGAAATTGAATCTTCCAATAACGACTAGGACTCTTAGAATAATCGTGTTAATTATTCCCGCCGTCACAAATCAGCGTGATATCAAATAAAATCATTCCTATTATTTAGTTTATACTGTTTATATTTTAACCAAAATGATTGTACAAAATTAAAATTCAACTTAAGTATTCCTCGATAGATGATTTCAAACTTAACAGGTGGGATTGAACTAATTTCAGTCCAATTTAGTAACTGAAGAGAAATAAATTTATGAAAGAAGATGAAATCATAAATTGTATTGTGTGCAACAATACATTATATTGCTTCTATTTATAGGCATACATCAACATTAGTTAAGATCTAGATATTATAAAATCTGAAATAATCTAAACAAATAGAATCTAAATAATCATAACTAATGAGATCTTTGACTAATCTTATCAGCCCCCCGCAAGCTCATGGGCGGAACAATAATGAGCTTGTCCCGAAGTTGAAGAAAAGTCTTCGTAGGCAGAGCTTTGGTTATAATATCAGGAATTTGGGCAGCGGACGGAACATGTTGAATAATAAGAGCTTTTTGACGAACTAAATCACGAACAAAGTGAATGTCAATCTCAATATATTTGGTGCGTGCATGAGATACTGGATCAGCAGCAAGGTAAATAACTCCTAAATTATCACACCAAAGAGTAGGAGCTAATGAAGACAAACCAAACTCACGTAGGAGAGAAGAAAGCCAACACATAATTCAGCTGCAGCAAGAGCAAGACTGCGATACTCAGCTTCAGTTCTTGAACGAGCAATAGTCGGTTGTTTCTTAGCACTCCAAGAGATGATATTAGAACCCAAAAAAATGTAATAGCCGGAAGTGGAGCGGCGGTCATCACGGCAACCAGCCCAATCAGCATCAGCAAAAGTAGTAATTGAAAGAGGGGAACTCTTTGTAACAGCAGACCAATGAATATCAGTGGGACAATGGAGAAATTGAGACACTTTATTAACAGCAAATTGGATATTAGGACGAGTGACACAAAGATATTGAAGAGCACCAACAGTACGCCGATACTCTGTAGGGCCAGATAAAGGTACACCATGATTTTTAGAGAGAGGTAAGGTGGGGGTTATGCGGGTAGAGACTGGTTTGGATGTGTCAAAGTGAGTGCGAGTGAGGAGATCTTGAATATACTTAGATTGAGAAAGAAGAAGGCCGGTGGATGTAGATTGAGCTTCAATACCCAGAAAATAATGAAGAGAACCAAGATCTTTGATGGTGAAGGTAAAATGAAGCTCATCAATGAGAGATTGAATAAAGGAAGAAGAGAAACCAGTCACCAAGATGTCATCCACATAAACTAGGACAAAAGTAGTGTGCGAGGACTTAGACAAGATAAAAAGAGAAGTGTCAAATTTAGAAGAAATAAAACCAAGAGTATGAAGTTTCTGACTAAGACGGTGAAACCAGGCTCTAGGAGCTTGTTTGAGACCATATAAAGTTTTGTGAAGACGAAAAACATGCTATGGATATTTTGGATCAAAAAAACCTGAGGGTTGACTCATATATACGTCCTCATGAAGATTACCGTGGAGAAAGGCATTGTTCACATCAAGTTGACGGATTGGCCAATTTTGATTAAGAGCAATGGTAATGACAATACGAATGGTAGTGGGCTTGATTACCGGGCAGGAAGTATCTGTGTAATCTATGCCAGAAGATTGATGGTAGCCTTTAGCTACTAAACGAGCTTTATAGTGCTCAAGAGTTCCATCGGATTTTCTTTTAGTTCAAAAAACCCACTTACAATCCACAATATTAGCATTAGGAGGAGGAGAAACTAGAGTCCAGGTTTGATTACGTTGAAGAGCATTAAACTCTTCAAGCATAGTTTGACGCCAGTGAGGAAATTTATTGGCCTGAGTAAAAGTGGTGGGGTCAGGTTCAGGAGGACAAGTAAGAGAGAAAGTATATATAGGTAACATAATCATTTAAACAGTTAGGCTTACGAGTTGTGGTACGAGTGGTCATGTGATGTCTTGGTGGTAGAGTTGGTCTAGGCGGGGAACTGAATGGTGGTGGAGGTGGTTTAGGCGGGGAATTAGATGGTGGTGGAGAAGAAAGCCTTATTGATGAAAGAGTTTGTGTCGTAGGATTGGAAAAAGGTACAAATGGAGGAGGAATAGACATTGGTTAAGGAAGCAACACCCTTGATGATGAAGTTGGAGAGGACGTAGAAATTTGAGGCGTAGCATAAGGAAAATCAATTTCAAGAAACCTTACATGTCGAGAGATGTAAAGTTTGGAACTTTTGGGATCAAAGCAACAATATCCCTTGTGTTGGGAAGAGTAGCCTAAAAAGACACAAGGAATTGATTTTGGGGATAATTTGTCAGTACGAGTAGACCCAAGAAATGAGAAGCAAGTGCACCCAAATACTCGAAGGCGAGAGAGGGAGGGAGGATTGGAAAAAAGAACTTCATGAGGAGATTTATTAGTAAGAACTTGAGTAGGAAGGAAATTGATTAGATAGGTGGCAGTGGAAAAAGCTTCAACCCAAAAGGATTTGGGAAGAGAAGCATGAAGAAGAAGAGTAAGCCCGGTTTCAGTGATATGACGAATTTTTCTTTCAGAAACTCCATTTTGTTGAGGAGTAAGGGGACAAGAGATGCAATAAGAAATACCTTACGAAGATAATTAGCAAAAACACCTTTCACAAGTTCTGGAGCACCATCACATTGAAAATATTTGATACTAGTAGAAAATAAATTTTCAGTAAATGACTTAAAATTTTGGAAAGCATGAAAGGCATCAGATTTATTAGTGAGTGGATAAATCCATGTAAAACGACTAAAGTCATCGATAAAAATAATAAAGTACCGGTAACCTGAAAGAGAGAGACAAGGACTTGGACCCTAAATATCACAATGAATTAATTATAACAGCGATTTAGAAACATGAGAAGATGGAGTGAAAGGAATTCGAGTACTTTTGCATTGCAAATAGGAATTACAAGAATTTATTTTGGAAGATTTAAATGACAAAGATCGAGCTAAAGATGAAAGAGTTGAGTGACATGGATGTCCAAGACGGTGATGCCAAAGATCAGGAGGAACAGCACGAGCAGCCAAAGCTACAGGATTGTGGAATGTCTTAGGAATCTTCATAGGATAGAGGTAATTGTGGATGTTACCCGCGAGAAGCGGAGTCTTGGTGACTAGATCCTTCATAACATAACCAAAAGGAGAAAATTCCATTCAACATGAATTATCAGTGACAAATTTTCTAATAGATAAAAGGTTTATAGTAAGCTGGGGAACAACGTAAACATTATGTAAATAAAGAGGTTTTGGGTGCTTGGTGAGTGCAGTGTGACCAATAGAAGTAATAGGAAGAGTAGTACCATTGCCAACAACCACTTGCTGATTACCATGATATGGAGTCGTAGAATCCACAAAAAGAGGATCAGGTGCCATATGAGCCAGGGAGCTAGAATCAGGAAGCCATTCAGGGATGTCACTAGATGTAAAGGATGAAAAATCTTGAGGCTAGGATTCTAGGACAGTGGAGGTGTGAAAAGCAGTGTGCATGTTTGTGGGAGCAGAAGAACGATGAGTTTGATTATTGCGAGATTCAGCGTAGCGGAAATGACAAACAACAGCGGAATGGTTGAATTTTTTGTAGATTTGGCATTGGGTAGGATTGGGTTGTTGGGTAAAGTTGGGGTAAGCGCTAAAGGATGAGGTATAAGGCTCATAGGGAGTAGAAGGATGGGTGGGGATTTGGGCGATTTTGGATAGTGATGAAGGGACGGTGTGGACCGTATGAATTGAGGTTGGGATAAAATGAGTGCGGAGTTGAGTTATTAGGAAAGTAGGGAGAGAATTGACCATGACCACGGCCTGAATTGGGTTGTGACTGGTTACCACGAGACCGAGAACTATTGACTGGAAAGTTCACAGTAGTATGGAGTGCAGCTTCTGGTGAAGGCAAAAATGATTGCAAACGTTGCTCATGGAGAAGCAGTTTTGCTCGAAGATCTGTGAATGAGGGAGGAGGGTTGAGATTCTCTATAGTGGTGATGAAGGAAGTATATTCAGATGAGAGACCATTAAGAGCGAGAATAACAAGATCATGATCAGGGATAGTATCCCCAACAGCAGAAAGCTCTTCCGCCATAGTTGATAATGAAGTGAGAAAATCATTGACTGTGAGAGAACCTTTCTTAAAATTGTGAATTTTTTTGGCATAGTTGCGATCTACGCGCTGTAGATTGTTAAAGAAAATGATGCTTGAGTTTGATCCAAAGGTCATGAGCAGTAGGACACCCCAATGCCACTGATGCCATTGAAGAAGACAACGAGGTAGTGAGACCACATTTGACAAGGCGATCAAGTTTTTTCCATTGA